ATTATACAACTTAGACTTACTTCAACACCCAGAAATCCTATAAGGTGTCTTCAATAGACTGATCACGTTTACCAGACCAGCTGGTTTTTCGTGCTTTGTACCAAACGAAACCAAAATGTACAAGAGATACATAATACCAAACCTTAATGAGTCAGCTTTCTCTGGAGAGAAAACAACTTCACTGCTTTTAGCACATCACTAGGATATTACAGTCAAAGGGTAATTTTGGTATATTTCAACCTGGACCCTATTTTACCATGTTTTTGTGTCTAAGTGAACATTAGGGACAACATTTTTTAAAACTGGTCCAGTATTGAGTGAGCGTGCTGCAGCAGCATAACAGGGCTGCATTGTAATCCGTGTGGGCAATATTGCCACGTCAAAGTATGTCCAATAAAGTGCTTGCTTTTGACACCGACTGACTGAGATTCTTATTACAAGTGTCTGACAATATTATGGAAATTATCTCTATAGAGATAGACCTTTTTTGTTTAGCCACCAAACTCCCTTGAGAAAAACAGCAATTATAGAATAATATAATATTAGATTCATCACTTTGTGCAGGCAGAAAGATGTCTAAATGTATCTCTCTGGGCAAATATGACCAATCTGCAGAATCTCAATAGGGAAGAAACATTCAGTGATAAAATACACATCATTAGAATTTATCTTGCACAGGATACCAAGATGAATTTGATGTGTTGACGTGTGTTAATCATTTAGCAGCATGATATACAATTCTATATTGTACATAGCCTTTTTTATATATAGCCTACTTGATGAACTAAACCTAAGCCCTATCCACAGGAAAAAACCTGGCCTAAAACACCTAAAATAACATACCCAAAATAAATCGGGTATAACTCATCAACCATAACTATGCATATTTCTCCTTTTGATAGGTCAGAAGCTAAGGAATATGAATCCACTGTATGTAAACCTATTTCTATTACCATTGCAGAGTAAATGGAATACCTGTGTGCAAACAACTGAACCATTAGTAGTGCTCTAGTAGTTATTTAAAAAGAGTCGTTTTAATGAAAACAAGTGACATAAATATACCTTACTCATTAACTATTTTGTCATCTAGCTACATAAATTGGTAATTTGCAAATGTCAGTAAATGTTTAATAAATTCTGTGCAAAGAAGATAACTTTAAGAGATTGTTTACAGTAATCAGCTACCTAATAACATTGGCGATATATATGTTGAAATAAATTTACATACAGTTACAACAGATTTTACTACATGATAGTATGTAGCCTTTTAAATACAAGCACATATTTTTCACGTTGCCTTTTAGTTTATGGTTTTAACAATTACAACGCGAGCTTCCATGGGAGCTGTTATTGTTGTGTGAAATCATTCTGCTCCCTGTACACAAGCAGCAACCCCGACTTTGAGTGGCGTTGCACTTTTTGTAGTTGAACAGTGGAAATTCCCGAGTTCCGAGGTGTCTCGAACGCACCACGATTACTAGGGGTTTTACTATAGACTGTACCGCAACAACAACCACACATGGACCCGAGCTACAAAAACAGCAAAGGTAAAAGTTTAAAAATGGTCCCATTTGTGAGTAAAATAGACGATACAGCAGGTTGTGCTTTACCTTGAGACTGAAAAGTTGCTAACAAGGCGACCTGTCAATTTAACGTTAACGTTAACTTGTCCGTGAGCTTGTTTTGACGGTAAAAGTAAGTTAAACTGTAGCATTTTGGTCGCCTAGAAATGTCTTATTCAGTGGTCGGTTGTTCTAAAAAAAAGTCGGATGTTAATATTTTTTTTTACAATAAGTAACTTACATTTTGTTTTGAGCCCGTTTCTTGCTAGCCAAAATTAGCATCCCAATGAATATCACAGTTAAAAATGGATACACATTACTAACCGAGCTGGTTAGCTTAACCCACTTGTTCCCCATAAAAAGGAAGATGGCAAAAAAAAATACAATACTCCTGGCTTCAAAAATACATATGTGCCCAGACCGGTCGAACTTGGGAATTTCCAAGTTAAAATACCGGACCTCAAAGCGTTTCAGGTACGTGATGGTGCATGACGCCAAATGTAAACAATAAACATGGCTGACAGTGACAAACTTGTGTTTCTTTGGCAGGTTGATGCACAGTTAAACCCTCAGCTGCACTTTTGAGTTAATTAAAAGGATGGCCATTTTATTAAAAACAAGTGATAAATATACGTTTATACCGTTAACCCTCAAAATGTGTAGGCTATATTTCCAAATGTTTTCACATTTCTTTTGCTGAATAACTTCTGGGTAGGGGAGATGAGTTTGAGAGATTGTTTACTGTAACAAGCTACCTAAATAACATTGATAAAATATTTCAGTGCTGTGACTTCTCATAACACATTTGAGGGGTCGTTTGTGTGGTTAGATTGAAATGAGACATTACTGCGGCCATGCAACCTTGTTTAGTTAAGTTAGCTCTGCTTATTGCTGCATGCTCAGTCAGATGCTTGATGTTTGACTTGTTTCGTTTTGGTGGATAGCATGAGCTTGTAGCCGAGCTTCTTCCCGCTGAGTGTTTGTGTTTGCTTGAAAATATGTTGTTACATGATTAGCATTGATGGAAGCTGCACATCCTGCCTCATGCCGCCGCCCCCTTTTGGGTGAATGCACCCCCTCTAATTTGACTTGCGAGAAGTGCAGATTCCGGAGTTTTTATCTAACAATAAAATAAAAAATATTAGAAAACAGTATTGGGTTTTCAGTGACATAGGAAGACATCTTTTTCTGGTTATCACAAACGAGGCTTTCTCTGCACACCTGACCTCTCTCTGAGATTTTGTTAAAGTAAGAGAGTTTAGGTTAAGGAGTTTGTTTTGAAGGTGAATCAATGTTCAATAGCATACAGTAATGTGTATTAGTCTGACTCCACAGCTCAGCAATACTGTGACACTGTGTGTGCACTTTACTGTACTTCCTTTAAGTGCTAAACATGAACACACACCGTGTTTATTAGAAAAATAAAAAGAGAGGAGACGGTATTTCCAGCAGAGATTTATTGTAAACATGTGTCTCCTGTGACACAGCAGATTAGCGGCGTGTTAGTATGTCTAACGGTCAGATCTTCATATTGAACAAATAAAACAATAACACAAATAAATAAATAATAATAATAATACCATGGAGGAGATCTGGCAATATTCTGGTGAGTTTGACTATTTGAGTGACTGGATGTGTCTCTAAAATGTTCAATTGATTGTACACTTTGCCTAAAGAAATGCAGTATACAGTATATGTGTGTGTGTGTGTGTGTGTGTGCACCAGTATGCACATGTCCATTGATATAAGGTTTTATGTGAGTGTGTGTGTGTGCATCAGTCCTATGACACACTGCAGTGCTTAACCATATTAGTGAGTTAGCCTGTTGTGTGAAGTCTTACATTATTGTTAAAAGGTCCCGCTTCCCCCATATTGCATATTCCCCTGAATATGCAGACAGTCACACAAGGTTTACTGCCATGTTCCTGACACTGTGATCAGAGGTGCTGTATCTTGTTCTTTCAGATGGCACTTACATCATGGTGTGTCACAAACTATCTGTGATATAGTCTGAGATAAATATTCATCCATTCCCTTTGCAAAAGAAGGCAGAGAAGTCAACCTACATTCGTATTTCCCTTTTTCAGTCTTGTGTATCCCTTTGCATCGTTCATATTCACAAAACAATAAACAGCTTAGTATGGATACAGAGTGGCTGCAGAATTCTGCAAAGCTAAGACTGATAACAGATCTAACCCTGAGCTTAACCTTTACATACTGTGGCTTTAGATTTTCCAGATAGACCCTTTCAGTTTGTTTAAAGGACTGAGGTTCTGACACAGAGCCTGCTGCAGGCGTGAATATTAGAAAAACCAGCCGTCATACTTAAATAGTCTTCCCAGTTCATGTCATGTGCACCCACAGAACACTGTCCTTATTAAGTGGTCTTCACTGAGCTGTGAACCGGTGTTAGGCCTTGGGTTCTTCAAGGCGATAAAGACAACAGTGTGATGTAGTGTGATAACATACCAAACCTAATAAACTGCGACCACTGCATGACAACCAGAGGCAAGAGAAACCAAATTGAGAAGCAGCTTTAAAGGCACATTTTAATGTTACTCTGTGCTGCAGTGTATTCAAAAGCTAATTGTAGCAAAAATCTAAACTGTAGCAGAGCTTTAATTTGTCTCAAAGATAATGAATTCGTTTACCCTGAATCAGTATTGGACTCTATTATAAAGTGTTTTGTGTTGAGCGCTCTCACAGATACAGGTGTAGCCAGATGTTAGATGGTTCACTGGCCCGATGCTGCTTTTACACAGGCGAAGTAGAAGCCCCGTTTATTCACAAAATCCCCACTGTTAACAAGATGACTTGTTAAAAAGTTGCCAAGAAAACCAATGTCAAAACATTATCACTGGTTCTGGTAAGCAGTATCCAGGTTCCCTAAGCTCAGTATTCTGTTAAAGATGAAATAAAATAAAAAAACTGTGTTATAACATACTTATTAAGTTGTGTTCTCCATAAGTAAATTCCAGACAGCAGCATGTATCAAAAATATGGCTAATATAAGGAGGAATATGACGGCGAGGGAACCACCAGATGAGCCAGTTTGATCTAACATTCCTCAAAACAGATAAAGTGAATCATCAAACCTAAATGTGGCATTTTACTGATAACTACTGTTTTTATAATACTGACAAATCACAAGTCATGTCTGACACAAACCAACTAATGACGTCTACTGGTAGTCATTTGCTTTTGAAATAATAAGTAAGTTAACTGCCTGGCTAGCCGCTAAGTTACAGATCACTCTGTTGGTGTTTGTGAACCCGTCCTGTCCACTGCCACTACTGTAACTAATTACTATCATACTACTAGGACTACGACTACAGTACATCACTGCTACTACAGTACAACTAACGGTGCTACAGCGGTTACCAGCTCATTAGTGTTTGCAGCTTACATTGTGTTTTTATTTTCTGTATTTCCCACCAGGAGATGAAAGTCTAAGAGAGTCATTCATCAACTCAGACAGTGACAGAGAACACTATTATGAAGGCAAGAACATGGCCCTATTTGAGGTAAGACAAAACAGATATTTTTCCAAATGTACACTGTTTATGATTGTCCACTAAGCTGGTGTATCTAAAGCAAATTCATTGTTGCATAAGATCTATGGTAGAGGAATAACACATAATTATTTTGTGTGATATAAAATATATGAATAACTAATAACATGTATGTTATTTAAAGTTTCTCACACAAAAGTTAAACACAGGTACAGTATATGATCAGACGGTTGCTGGTTACATTACCTCCAGATGGAAACGTGTGGGTTATAATAGTAATGATAATAAAAATATTCTGTTTCACACAAGGCAGCAAATTTAAATCAACAGATTATTTTATAAAAACATTAGGTTTCATTAAAAAAAATTGATAAAACCAGTTACATTATTAAGTAAAAAATAAAAGACAATCAAAGTAAAATCAAAATAGTTGCCCTGATGAAACTAAGTAAGTAGTTTGCAGAGCCCTGACTGCAAAGGCTCTGTTGCCTATATTTTTATGCTGGTACTTAACAGATACAAGACCTGCATGTGGACCTAAAAGTATGAACAGCCTACTAAGGTACTAAGAGGTCAGAAATATAGTGAGAAGTAAGGAGGAGCAAAACCATGAAGAGTCTTAAAAGTAATTGGTAAAATACTGGGGGCCATTGTAAGGAGGCTAAAACAGGAATGATGTGGTCACACCTCTTGGTTCTGGTTAAAAGCTTGACAATTATTATTAAAGTGTGTATGTGCACCTGCTTGCAGTGGAATGCTAACAATTCATGCATTTTACTCTGTCTCTCTGCAGGAGGAAATGGATAGTACCCCCATGGTATCATCTCTTCTTAACAAGCTGGCCAACTACACCAACCTGACCCAGGGTGTTCGAGAGCATGAGGAGGCCGACAGTGAGGATGGGGTCAGGAGGGTCGCTGTCACGGTACGGACCTCTTTTTTTTTTTTTTTTTGAGCATAGACAATGAAGTCCTGCATTGGCAGTGGGATCTTTATTGTGCATAAGAATGAATGCATTCAGTCCGACTGCAGTGTTTTGTTAAGCCTTTAAATGCCTTCTTTTACTTCCTGGATTGCATTTTATTGTCTCACCTGAAGTGAAGTGGAGAGTTAAGCATAACAGCAGAGAGCTGATCTGGCCCTGCTGGTTTCATTTTCTTTTCTTTTCTAGGATTCCCCATTGTAACGTTTAATCACAGTTTGTGTGTATTTGTCGTTCAGCATTGACACAGGACCAGTGTCTGAAACTAACATCTGAACCATAAAGATTACCCAGTGAGATATTCACAAACCCCTTTTTGTAGCTAGCAGTTTACTGTACGGCTTTTGTACTACAGGCAATAAAACTTAAATCTACCAATTAGTTCACAATAAATCTCATAAGATGAAAGTCTTTTAGGAAATGACACATCTCTTTCACACAACACAATACAGCCCATTCTTTAGATATGCTTATGAGCTGCTTTAGCGCCTCGTGATTTCATCCCAAAGGTCAAAGTCTACAGTAAATTGTATTTAATGCTTGATAGACTCAAAAAACTCAAAAGCAAGAGTCATTTTTTAAACCTTATCTCTCTGAAACCTGTGTCTGAAGTCACAATTCCAGCTACTCGACCTGCATTAGCTCGGATTGTCACTTATGACAACTACCATTGTCAGCGTGTTGCTCAAACTAATCTACGCACGTAGCCACACACTTCATACTGTAATTACTCCGCCAAAACACTAATTGGCGGTAGCGTCATAGCATCCACTGTCTTGACTTCCGCTGGCCAAGCCAACTAACCTCCTCATTAGCCCTACACTAACTTCAGTGGGCGCAAAATTATAATCGTGCATCCCTTGGAGACTTTTCAAATGTTATCGACCAAATGCTTCAAACTCTGACAGTGAAACGAGTCATTTCGCGGGGATTGTGACGCTCAAATAAATTCATCCACCATGTTATAGCGGCTGGAATGGCCACAATTGTAAAATTTACTTCAAAGCACTGAGCACCTTCTGTGGGCTTGAATGAAATGCGATGCTACCCAGCCAATCACAGTTCTTGCGATCTTGGTCTCTGCAACAAATAGTCACATTTTTGGAGAGGTGTGCGTCAGGCTACAGCGAAGGCTACGACGTAGGCTATGGCGTAGATTCGACGCAGAAGTATGAAACAAGCTTAAGCCACAGCTGCCCCATCAAAATGTATTGGAAAAAGATGGAAGTAATCATTTCCAAATTTCACTAAATTTTGCTAAATTACATTTATATAAAAAATCTATTTCGGCTCTAGTAGTTTATTTGTTACTAAGGTTATATATAAGGCCCCTTTTCTTTGCACAACGAATGAGTGTCCATCCCACCGAACTTCTGTACCAGATGGACTCTCATTTTGGGATTAGCCTGCTGCCTACATGTATTTATGTCGACGACACTGACTAGTTATATTCATTCAAGAAAGTTGATTTAATAAAAACAGACTAAAGTAAAGGATTTTGTTCCAGGATTTCTTCCCCCCCCCCCTTCTTTCTGATGACATCATAAAATATATAACAGATATTCAAAGCTTCGTTACAAAACCTCAATAGAAGCTTCGAATGTAAAAGAAATAACGTTTGGTACAGCCAAACCAAACACCTGTTAATTGATTAGTGACGTAGTCCCTTCTGTCTGCAGTGTAGAACAGTGTTCAAACAACTTAATATTGTTTCTTTGATAGTACCTTGATAACTGTAGTTATCAAGCTTTGAACAAAGTCACAAGATCAATCACATCTCCTTTGTTCTTAGCCTAGTGTGTGGTGTAAATAGCCTGCTTCGCGTGGGAAAAATCCATGAAATCACAAACACTCGACTACTAACATTCATATTAAGGTAAAGGTCAGACGGGACACTTGTTTAAATACTTTTAAAGCCCAGCTGTGAACTCTCCTACACCACTCACCTTCTAACTACTGGTTGGCTAGATTAAAAATCCGTGAGCCTGTAAACTTCCCCCCATTCCCTTATAAAGATAACTATGTCTGTGGTGTGGGAGGTTGGGTTTGTGCTCCAGCTGGAGGTGGAGAGTGGAGGTGTTTTGTTCATTTTGTGGCAACTGGAGCACCTTCTGCTGAGGGTGTTAAACCTGACGAAGATAAAGCTGCTGCTCATGTACACATCAGGCCACTAATGACAGACCCAATCTGGGATGATGTGCAAAGTTTATGTATGGAAGGATTCTGTGTGACTTGTGTAGAAGTTAAACATCATCTGGTCTGTTGTATGTGGGAATAAATGGTCTCCATGTATCATCACAGTCAGAGAACTCAGCAAACTCAGTCATGAAAAATAAGAATGAAAAACAGTTAAATGAGGGTTAAATGAAAAGAGTGGCCCAACTCTCATATCTGTCTATTGAGTATATATGAAAGTCTACACGCTGTCTTCTCCACACTGCTAGGAATAAAATTCTGCTGGGAAAATACCCAATCCTGTTTTGAAACCGCATTGCTGTCACAGGTGGTAATAACTGTAAATACTGCAGACAACAGTAATATAAATGAGTGCAGTTATATTAAAACCTTCATAATATGCTCAAGAGTGAGAGTTGTCTCGCTGGCACTGAAACACGCCCTCTGAATGAGTTGTGTTTTTTCTTTAAGAGTGCACAGAAATAGATCTGAAGCTTGACACTGAAAAGGACAAGACAGACAATATTGAGGGAGTGAGGGAGAGAAAAAATTGTGAAGAGAGAAAGACAACACGTGAGGAGATGTGGGACATCTGGAAATGAGCATCAGACACTTCACAGCATTTAGACTAGACAACTGAGGGCAATGGAGAAAGCACAAGACAAAGTGTTTGTAACTCAAAAAATGGTACGTACACTTTTACTTTACGTTCTGGGTAGGGAGTAGGAGAGGTATATATGTACATATTTGTGACTTGTGATGCACACAGTAAATATTATAGAATATAGGGATGGTGTTAGTTAAACTGTAGGAGCTTAAGCACAAAATGTAGGACAGTATTTGACCTCAGTATCCTGCACCACATAAAAAATTTGAAGGACCTGGCTCTTTTGGTATTCTGTGATTTATTTAAGAATCTTTTTCTTATGCTTTTGGAAAGAAGATAAAATATCCAATGTGATTTTCCCACAGTCTCACATGACACTTCAAAGATACTCAGTGAGGATCTTTGAGATTTAACATGTTCTAATAAAAAGACGTAGCATATTATCATAACTAATACTGTGAGAAATCCTGTGTCTGTAATGACCAAATAATGGTCAGATAATTTATTAATTTTCTAATTACACCAAGAGTTTCATTTGAACTTTTTTCCCTCTTTCTTCTTGGCATTTTTGATCTCTTTCTATTTGGACTGTTTTCAGGCACATCCACGTAAACTGAAAAACTGTGTGCATTTTTGACAATCCTTATTTATTCCTTTTTTATTCCAGTAAGCTTAGAAAGCAACCCCATAGACTGTCAGTTCAATCTGTAAGGTGCAGCACGGCCAGAAATGACAAGCCTACTGCTGTGTTGTGCCAAGGTCTATAAACCTTAAAGTCCCCGTCCACTTGAAAATGTGTTTTGCGTATTGTCACCTGGATGTTTGAGCTTCACTGTGCAGAATGATGCATATTCAGTTTTTGACACTAGAAGCCTGTTTTCACATTAATCCGCTGAAAGTTTCTCTCTGCTCACCTCAAATCTGAGTTTAATATGTGCACATATTAGCTGATTTTCAATGTGGGAATTTGTAATCTCCAGCTCAGAATGGACTTTTAATAGAAGTAGGAAACACCTTGTGTTCATCGGTTAAACCTTTTAAAATGCATGTTTACAGGATTTTTCCATGTGGGAGAAGAAGTTGAAGATTTGTTTTACCAGGTGATTGAATGAAGTTAGGTGTTACAGCAGCCTTAAATTGTTACACATTAAACTAAGTTGCAATATTTAATAAGTTTTATTAAATTAATTAATATTAAATATGATAAACACATGTAAGGAAGGAACAATTACTCCCTACCTCATATCATGTGAAAAGCACTGATGAACAGTCTTTAGTAATATAAAATGCTCCAATCATGCTGGATTTGTTTTTAACCCTCTGTGTTTTACAGCTGTCCTACAGAAAAGGAATACAAAGATTCAGAGGTCACGTACTTTTTTGAAGGCTGTATTTTAGGTGTCCTGGCAGTCTAGTGGTCTGGTGCCTTGTGCTCTTACTGAAACATCCTGGGTTCCAGTCAGACAGTGTTTTTGTTGCGTGCTACCTTTCCTCCGCCCATACACATAAAACATGTCGTATTATAGGTTTTACTTACATTAGCACACTTCTTACAGATCACAAAGGGATAATCAAGGATATGAGGTACAGCATAGTTTAATTATTCACATTTTGGGTCTCGTTCGAATCATCTGTCTTACCTGTTGATTCTCATCGGTGTGCGTGTGTGTGTGTGTGTTTCATCTATCTCCAGGTGCCCCACATGGGAACGTTCATTGGAGTTTACCTGCCCTGCATGCAGAACATCCTGGGTGTGATTCTCTTTCTGCGTCTCACCTGGATCGTTGGCACAGCAGGAATCCTGGAATCCTTTGCCATCGTCTCCATGTGCTGCATCTGTGTAAGTTTATTATATATTTAAAAATAAAGTGTAAAAAAAGTACAGTTTTAAAAACAAATGCGTTTTGTCCAAATGTGAGTAATGGCATCAATGATACTGTGAATAAAGGATAGACAAACAAAACGGAACAGTAACATGCCTGAGCTTGCCTGAGATTTACGACATGGCAGACAAACTGGAGGACAATCAATACACCCTCCTCTGAATTGATGGTTTGTTGCTTAATGACAGAATTAATCTCAATGCCTAAGCTCGGAGGAGAGTCCTCATAACAAGCAGAAAATTCATCTTATTTACAACCGCGGCTCATACGTCAGTAGATCCACATGGCCAAACAGAGAGCTGACTGTTTGAAAAGTTTGAACTTAATTGCTTAAAACTCATGTGATGTGGGGTACACAACATCCTCCTCCAATATATACCCACCCCATCTGATGCTTTAGACCAAAGAGATGACAGAGGCTGAAGATATGATGTGGTGGTGCTGTTTAGGAGACTGGTAGTTTTGGATTTGGCATTTCACAAGGTCACATGTAATTAGTAGGGTTGGGTATTAAACCGCAATCATTCATATCATGTTATGCCAAAAGTGTTTTAATGGCACTGGGTATCCCAGTGTGATCTAACATCTGGCGAGATTCCTTGTCGTGTAAGATTATTCTTTGATACATTAACACAAATTTATCTTCAAAGGTTGAACAGTTGAATATACATTTGATTTAAATATATATTCAAGTTCTTTTTATTGTCTTTTTGTGTAACTATCAAGCACAATGAAACCCTGGTTTTGAAAAGTGTTCTATAAATAAAGTTTTCTAGAACTACTTACTTATTTTCATCAGCCCTAAAAAGATTTTATTGAAACAGTTCTCCCACAGCAACTTTGTCTCTCCGTTACCACTCTCATCTCTTACCAAAGGTCAACGGTAATAAAGGACTACTTTAGTAGGTCTCTCCTCTCACACCTCTGTTCCTGAATCCTGATTTCCCACCTGGCCTTAAACCCTGATCCTTTTCCCCATGGGCAGATAGAGAGATTAATGTAGTGGGCGATCTAAGAAATGACACTCTGATAACCTTTAATATTGTTAAAGATAAGGCTGTGTCGCTCCTGGCTCTTGGACTCCAAAAAAAACGGGAGACAAAGTGAAAAAACAAAGTGATTTATTATTTATTTATATTAAGAAAATGTGAAAAACCAATGAGTGGGAAGAATCTGTAAAGTCAGTAGTGTAGGGAGTGGATGTTGTGCTGCAATAACAAGTACCAGGAAACCAAACACAACAAAGCAAGTCGTGAGATGAGGAGGTCCAACCAAAACTGACTGCTGCTCTGGCTCATATGCATGGGGCAAACTGGGCCCAGGTGTGTCCCATGCCGTTGATTACCTGCCAATCAGGTCTGCAGCCCTGGAGACAGAAAGCATTAAACATCAGTATGAACCCTGCAGAGGGGCTGTCACAACTGTAATTTTGGATATCTCCAGACATAAAGCTTTATCTCATTTATCCTTAAAGAGAACCCATAAGGTCTATTCCATCCCTCCTCCCCCTTGGAGAAAGAAATGCAAACATCAAACAAAGTTTCTCCAAACTAACAACCAGATTCTACAAAGCGCTGTCAGAGAGGACTAAGGAATTGTGGGAAGAGGATTTAGGGTCTTCCATTATTAGATGACTGGGATATGATGTGGGCAGAGTTAGTTGGATATGTAGTTACTAATAAAACCACTGAAATACAATATAAAATTATAAATCATTTTAAATAATAATACATAGATTGGAGGCCTTAAGCTTTTTCTTAAAGTAGAAGCTATTTCAGTTCTACAGTTTTAACCCCTTTCTTTTCTGACACTGACAATAAATGGAGGACTGGGTGGACTAACTGATTGTAGCAGATTGCCGTGGACTTTGATAAAATGTCCTCCTCTATTGTGTCAGTAACAAAACTCAAGAATCTGCTCACACAGCATTTCAAATTATACCCAGCCACATACATTAATGAGTGATTATAATACACTTTTTAAGATGTGCAAGGTTGATTAAAACGCTGACAGTATGAAATTACAGTATATGATGTGAAACACAACTTCTCACCTCTTTTCTTCCATCCAGAACTTAACATCTGTGCTCTTTCTCTCCACGCAGACCTTGCTCACAGCCATATCAATGAGTGCCATAGCAACCAATGGAGTTGTCCCAGGTACATTGTGAAATGTTGTATTCATAATTATTTTCTATTCCTCCAGCAGTTTTTAAACGCAATGGCTTGCAACTGTAGTTTTATTATTTATACTCAGAGACATCAGTTATGATCGTGCATTAGTCATCATGACACAACAAACACTGCAAAATAAAGAAATACATTTCACTCTTTGATCAACAGCTAATGTATGATGAACAAACAGTTGCTGATTCTTTATTTTATGGCCCTGTAATTTCTTAAAAGGAAGTTTCCTGGAAAAAATGAATAGGAAAAATAGAGGTAATGTTCTGTGACAGTACATTTACGACTGTAAGTACTCATTCATTTATTAACTATTTACAAAAGAAGCAGGAAATGACATGGTAGTTACATTGTAGTGTAGAGTAGTGGTTCTAAACCTGAGGCCACAAGATTAATCATGTGTATGTGAGATGATTAACAAGGTAAGAGAGCAGATGAAAACACATTTTGTGCTACAGAAAATTATTTTTCAAGCTTTCTTCTAATGTTTGCTTTGTTGATGGTTGATAGTCAGGTCTCTGAAAGTATTTAAAACGCTGCAGTCGCAAATAGACAGCTTTATTTTTGAGGGGTCACAAGTCAAATAAAATGGGTTTATATGCAGCTGTGATTTGTATATAAAACTTGCGTGATGACCAAAACTCCGTTTCAGCATTTCACTACCACATTGGAGCATATAAGCCCCGCCCACTCTGTTGCAGAGCAAAGCAGCTCATGCAGTACTGTAGTTTATTCATAGTTTATTATTTCTGAACGTGTCCAAATTGGATGAAATGTTCTCAACATAATTGAAATAGGGACACACAGACAGACACACTCGCACACCCCCACTAACTCCTGCCTTTTTAGAGAGATAATGACAAAAAATGTATATAATTTAGTAAATAACACATAATGCAAATTATTATTAAATTGTTCATCATGCTTTCAGTAATAATGGTAGTATACCCAAAGATGCCAAATAAATAGCTGCTTTTATCAATTGAACCTAAAATGCCCTCACTAATTTCCTTGATAAAGACCTGATACTTTTTGGTAGGTAATGTTATGATGTAAAATAAAAATAAACAAAAAATTCTAAATACCATTTAAAATATCTGCAATGAACCTTTAAACTCAGTAAATAATGTTTTATTTCCATTTTACTGCAAAGAGCATTGTCTTTTACTGCATTATCGGTGACTGATGATCAGTCCTTTTGCCTTTTTTGGGGGAATTATCAGAAAATATCAGAAATAAAAACATGAAATTACCTTTGGACCTAAAAATGCAGACAAGTTGGGGATACTTTCTTTAGCCCAGAGTAGCATCTGCAGTCTTTTTCACAGGCAGCATATAGCCACAGCAACCTCCACTCTGAAGGTTCATTACTATGAGCATAACTGAATGCAAATCAGACGAGCATATTAACATTTTGATAAACTCAGAAGTTCTTCCATTTGGATTTTGGCGGTTAGACAATAACAGGATTCAGTTTTGAGGTATTTTAGTAAATTAATGAAACTGTGGAGTGCAAAAAGAGGATTTTACAAGCTTGGAAAAATGTAAAATAAAGTGTTTTGAATACTAAGAAATACATTTGGTAGTAGTCTAACCAGGATTTAATTTCTCAAAAGCTGGTGGCTCATACTACATGATCTCCAGATCATTGGGTCCAGAGTTTGGAGGAGCAGTGGGTCTCTGTTTCTACCTCGGAACCACCTTTGCAGGATCCATGTACATACTGGGCACCATAGAGATTCTGCTGGTATGTTACCACACTGACAGACAAGAGGTCACCCTCATCAGTGTCTCTTCCGCTGTATATTGACACTGACACTCTCTTTTTGCCTCCCCTCTGCCAGATGTACATTGTTCCAACAGCAAAACTGTTTGAAGAAGATGGAAATGCACCAATGCCCAACAATATGCGTGTCTATGGCACCTGCTGCCTGCTCCTGATGGCACTGGTAGTGTTTGTAGGGGTGAAGTAAGTACACACACACACACACACACACACACACACAGTCATGTTTCCATCACTTCAGAGGACATTTCATTGACTTACATTCTTTTCCTGGAGATCTAACCATAACCACTACTTATCTAACCCTAACTCCTAGGACCAGTGAGGATAGGTGATATCAGAGTATAAGAGTTTTATATTGATATTTAGTTGTGCCTATGCGCCACAGACTTTATCCTTGGAATGTAGTTCATGTCTCTTCTAACCTCACCTAAAGCTAACATCACTAACTTAAACCAAGTCTTCACTCTTAAATTGAATGATTTACATTATAGGGACATGTTGTCCCCAAAAATAAGGCAAGTCGCCACAATGTGACTGTAAACAAATGTACAGTATCTCACAAAAGTGAGTACACCCCTGACATTTATGTAAATATTTGATTACATCTTTTCATTTGACAACACTGAAGAAATGACACTTTGCTACAATGCAAAGTAGTGAGTGTACAGCTTGTGTGACAGTGTACATTGTCTGTCCCCTCAAAATGAAACATCACACAGCCATTAATGGCTAAACCTCTGGTAACAAACACTACTTTGTGAGATACTGTGTGTCCCCACAATATGAATACTGAACATATACACACCAGCATGTGGACTCACATTTATTCCCCTTCTTCCTGCAGGTATGTGAACAAACTGGCTTTGGTGTTTCTGGCTTGTGTGATTCTCTCGATCATGGCCACTTATGCAGGCGTTATCAAGACGTTGATTGAACCACCAGAGTTTAAGTGAGTTACTAACAATTCTCATAAAGCACTGACATGTTTTCAAGACTGAAATATTGTTTTCAACAAAATGCAACATTGAATTCCTTCAGACAGGCCGTCGCTGTGATGACACCGAATATGCCATGGAAGGACAGCTCTTTGGCTGTTGCTGTGATTGTGTCTGTGCTTTGGTTGTTATGATTATGGCTGTGACACATTAGTTTATTATATGTGTAACAGTAACTACATGCAGGGTTTGTGTATGCACAGTGAATTGACATGGTTGTGTTGGCTCAGCATTGTATTGGAGCTACTGTAATATTGAACTCCTGTGTTGTATTGCATCTGATAAACACTGCGGGGCTTCAGGATGTTTTATCAACCATTGCAAAATGTTCTAAGGCATCTGTTTCTCAGAGAACCAGAGCTCCATCTATCACAACAGATACAGCAGCTTCCATATAACTACACTGTACTCTTCTCTCTCCTCTACAGTGTCTGTCTTTTGGGGAACCGATCTCTGAACAATGAAGAGATTAAAATATGTGCAAAGACGGAGACGGTAAAAAACAACACTCTGACCACCAAGCTATGGAGCGCCTTCTGCGACAGTGAATATACCAACGCAACCTGTGATGAATACTTCACCTTAAACAACCTGACAGAGATACGGGCCGTACCTGGGCTCCTGAGCGGAGTAATCAAAGGTGAGAAAGAAGTAGAAGAAGGAATCTCTCTTCCAGCTTGTATCATCTTGTGCCATCTTCAGGCTAAATGATCAACTCTGTACACAAGATATTTATTGCCCCACAGAATCAATCCTAATGTACCCTATCTTCCTGTTAGACAACCTGTGGAGCGAGTACGGTGACGCTGGTACGTTCATAGAGAAGAAAAGCCAGCCTTCAGTAGAAGCCCTGGACACGCCCAAAGACAATAAGGCCTACGTCTTCAATGACATCACCACCTGCTTCACTCTGCTGGTGGGAATATACTTCCCCTCTGTCACAGGTAGATGATTTACCTTTTGAATTACTATAACCTGTGGTGGATAGTAACTAACCACGTTTACTCGAGTACTTAAGTATAATAGACAGGTACTCAATTTTCTTCTGCCAAAATGTTCATCTATCATTGTTGAAGTATTATTTTTCTTAAACAAGTGAAGCAATTTACCATCCCACATACCTTTTTTTAATAGAAGTCAACCATTTAAAACACTCTAGTAGAGCCGTCCTGCATAATCAGGACTGCACTTTTGCGACATTAATTACTATAATTAATTCTTCTGAAGTAAAACTTTAAATTCAGGACTTTTAGTTGTATTGGAGTATTTTCACACTGTGGTATTAATACTAATACGAAGATTTATGTTTCTTCTACCACTGATCTTTTAATTGTTTGTGTGTGTTCCTTCAGGTATAATGGCTGGTTCAAATAGGTCCGGTGATCTCAGAGATGCCCAGAGGTCCATCCCGATAGGAACCATAATGGCTATTCTCACCACCTCTTTCATCTGTATCCTCTATACCTTTTTTAGGTGTTTGTGTGTGCAGCTGATACAGTACAACATAAAATTATTTCTGAATGTGCACACTAGCATGTGCATGTGTGGGGAGGTATAACTGTTGATGAGAGTAGCAAGGCTGATTTGGCGAGTTGTATTTGTATTTAATGTCACAGATTAGGCTGTTACAGAAAAGTAAATACACAGTGCAGGTATTTCCATCTTAACTTCATGCTCAGACATCTCGTGTGTGGTCTTGTTTGGAGCCTGTATTGAAGGAGTGGTGCTGAGAGACAAGTAAGTGTATTTTTAATTGACTTCCTACTCATTGAAACTCCATAGACAGTCAAATTGTGGCACACTGGGATTTTACAGCTTATTGTAAGTGATTAGTTTATTTTTAAAAAAATTGCTGTTTTTTGAGACAGAATCATTGATGTTGAAATAATAAGTTTGGTAAAGTGTTTCACAGTGAATTGCAGTGTAAATTGTTCTGTTTTTCCAGTTCTTCTGGGCATTCACAGGGAAAATGAAAAACATATATCCAGTCATTGTCTAGTCAATTATTTATATACTGAGCCAGAATACACCTAATAAACTTTATGCGTGCTTGTGTGTGTTTCAGGTTTGGTTACTCAGTAGAGAAGAACCCGGTAATTGGTGTTCTAGCCTGGCCGTCTCCCTGGGTGATTGTCATTGGCTCGTTTTTTTCCTGCTGCGGGGCTGGGCTTCAGAGCCTCACTGGCGCCCCCCGGCTGTTACAGGCCATCGCTCGGGATGGTATCATCCCGTTCTTACAGGTCAGTGTCAGAGAGATCTTTGTTTTTCATAAGTTTGGGTGATGCTTGTTTGTGCTTTTACAAACGAGCATCACCCAAATGCAAAACGACTGTTGGTTTGTATTACGTTTTTTATTTTGTCTACTGGTTTACTGGGCCAGTTTAGTTTAATAAGGATTTGCTCAAAATGAGGTTAAGGCAGTAACTGCAATGGCAGCTTCAAAGGCTTCACTTACCTTTTTATTATGTGTGCTGGAGGGTTGATTTTTCTTACTTAACTCCTGTGCCCTTTGGAGTTTTCCTGTAAACAAATTACAGTGGGCCTGATTTAAGAACCACTTGTACAAACAGCTCTTACAAATTGGCATATTTTTGCCAATATAATAATATAATAATAATAATTCTACATTACAGTAGAAGTAGTACAGTAGGAAAGTTCTCTCTATCCGACAGCTGTCTGAAGTGTATTCACTCAGGCCTCTGTTTCATCCTCTCTTGTACTCAACAGTGCAACACCACCTGCGGTAGGCTGTAATTTTATCATGTCAAATATCTCTGTGACTGACACATGACCGCCTCTTGTGTTTGTTATTTAGCATTTATCTTTATACAAAAACATTACCTCTTTATTTCGTTTGTAACATGTTTGAGAATGAAACTTGAAATGGAGTGAAACAAGCAGGGTCAAGGACGGATTATACTTTCCGCGTCCGTGAGTACGCAAGGGTCCGGGTCTGCATGCCTCCCGTTTTTGAATACGCTACCAGGACACCAACCGATCTATGTCGCATGTATGGAACGTGTCCGCCAAGCTGACTCCAGAAAGTAGTATAAACAGAAGTAGTCCACGTCCGCAGCTGTCTGTGTGCATGTCCGCTCCAGAGTATATTTGAGCCTTCATTTGGCAATTTTAAGGGCGTTGATAATGCTAATGATGAAATTTCAAAAATGCACACCTCCTCATACACAGGTGGTATTCATCGGGCCGAATTGAAAACAAATGTTTGTTCGGTTAAGAGAGTTTGGTGAAACACTCATGCGAACAGGCCTTACAGAAAAAAGGAAGAAAGATTTAAAATAAGGATCTGAAAATGTTCTTGCATTAGGCCTAAATCATCCTTGACGTCTAACAGTTGCATTGAATGCATTTCCCTAGAATAATTTAGAATCTGTTGTTTATTATTTATAATGTAAAAACATAGTAAATATGTCCAATACAGATTTCTTGATCTCTCTGGTATTTTTGATTGACACATGACGGAAATAATTAATCCCTCTAAACCAAAAAGCCAAAATATAATCACTGGTAAAATAATGACACATTTTATAATGCTTCATAAATTAGATCAAATAAAAAGATGGAACTGGAACTGGATCTGGCAGCTACTGTACTGTTAGACATTGATGTGTTTGTTTATTGTTTTATTTTTCTGCCAATTAATGGAGTATTATATTTCACCTTCTCTCTCTATTTTCTTTCTATCCATCCATCTATCTATGCATCTATCTCAGGTTTTTGGTCATGGGAAGGCCAACGGTGAGCCCACATGGGCACTGTTGCTGACAGTTGGGATCTGCGAGATAGGAATCCTCATTGCTTCTCTGGATGCTGTGGCCCCCATCCTCTCCATGTACGTGGTTTGACACTGTAGAATATACATCAAACTGATCCACTTTCTGTCCTACTTGCTTTCAGTCTGTGTTACTTTTCTTGCCATGGTGATGTGCATATATTTACATTCCTTTCTCTCTGTAATGATCTTTTCCATCTGTGTATTTGCTCAGGTTTTTCCTCATGTGCTATCTGTTTGTTAACCTGGCCTGTGCTGTTCAGACTTTGCTCCGTACCCCGAACTGGAGACCTCGCTTCAAGTTCTATCACTGGTAAGAACAGCTTCCAAGCAAACTCTGCCACAAAGTAAATCCTGCAAATATTATGCAAGATGAATTCTTCCAATACAATATTAACAATATTAATATTATGTGCTATATGTGTGGGTGTCCTGTAGGTCTCTGTCCTTCTTAGGAATGAGTCTGTGCGTCTCTCTCATGTTCATCTCTTCCTGGTACTACGCCCTAGTTGCCATGGTGATAGCTGGCTGTATCTACAAGTACATTGAGTACAGAGGGTGAGTTTTGGGGGTTTCTGGTCATGAGATCAAATCAAAACTGCTTTAAACTCTACATTACTGGTAGTATCCAAGCAAACGTAGCCAGTGTTGATTTGTACTGTGAAAAAGCTCTAAAGTTGTGTTTGTTTAGTGGTCAACCGATGTGGGTTTTTCAGTGGCGGTTGCTATTTATAGAGCATAGTGGCCGATGGCCGATATATAATGCTGATATCGACAATTGAAAGTCTTTTAAAATCCATGAATTGTGTGCTCGGAGATGTCGGTAAAATATCAAATATTTTTATCATTACAATTACACCCAACTGAGACTAGAATCATTTAAACTTTTAGTTTGGAAAACATTTGGAAAAGAAGTGAAATTTTCCTGTTTGGACTATTTGGTTGCAGAGCAGTGAAGGAATGGGGAGACGGGATCAGAGGTCTGTCCTTGAACGCAGCACGCTACGCTCTGATCCGGCTGGAGGAAGCACCACTACACACCAAAAACTGGAGGTGAGCTTGTGTGTATGTTGTGATTTGCTTTAATCATAATAAAGCCATGGAAGTCATACACACACACACAAAGTGCAATTTTGGGGTCTTTATTTCTTGTTATGCCTTGTTATAAGTCTCTGCTTTTTTCACTGGAATAAAATAAATTTGTGCTTTGGGGCAAATGGATGTAAAACAGAAAAGAAAAGCATCAAAACTGATGCAGTAGAAACAGCGATATGGTCTTTTGTATTCCACTCAGTCTTCGTCCTTCCACCAAAACCTGGTGGAGATTCAGATGTGCTATGCTAGTAGCAGTTAATGTCGCCTCCAGCAGAGATGAGAGGTGTGCTACTGAGGTCTGATAAGCTCATTTGTTTCTAACCCAGTTTTTTATTTCATGTTCAAAACTTGTCTTCAGCTACAACCAACACTGACTCAACTGACATGACTGGAGGCAATGTATTTGCTTTCTCTGGAGCCACAAAAGACTTTATAAAACTTTTTTTTAGAAATGTAGTAGAGCTCCCCAATACCTGGGGAAAAAAAGACGGATGTGCGTAAAATTGATGCACTTCCCTTATTTTACTCATTATGCTTTCAAATTACTACGATTTTCCCTCATACAATCTGCTTAACATGGATTTATATCACAAGTTGTATTTTATTCTTAATGATTGTTTTGCAGTACCTGTTTTGCTTGTATTCCGCTACTTGTTGATGTGTTTTCTCCTTTTTCAGACCTCAACTGTTGGTTTTGTGTAAGTTGGACTCAGACCTGGCGGTGAAACACCCTCGTCTCCTGTCCTTCACTACGCAGCTCAAAGCAGGAAAGGGACTGACTATCGTCTGTTCAGCCCTGGAGGGAACTTACATGAACCGGTGTAAGGATGCCAAGACTGGAGAGCAGGTTTGTCAATTTATTGCTCTGCCTGTTTAGTCCTCTGCATGGTTTTCCAGTGTTCAGGTCCCACTTCCAGTATTCCAGCACAGACGTCAGACATAGAGGTAGCACAGATAGATAGGCAGTCTGTCCCACTCAATTCTTCAATACAGGTAGTTCCAAATATTCAGCACAGCAGACTGTTGGAGGAAATACTTGGGAGGACATTTAAACGTTACACTAAATTGAGACTGAAAACAATGATTTGGAGTAGCATTGCAGCTGCATTCCACTCAGCCTCAGGATTTGGTTCAGTGTCCAGAAAAAAAACTTGCTGGAGTAGAGATAAGTTTTTATTTTAGTTGTTTTTTTGTTTTTTTTAACGAAGGGTTAAAGGCTACTTCCCGTGCAAAACAGATAAAGTTATATTAATTAGCTCAGCCATGAATTCTACCTTTACAAAGTTAATAATCAGTTTTTGGTGTCATTGTCGGAAATGTATAAATTCAATTATGTTTTTATTTTTGAAGTCACAGTTAAAAGGTGGTGTTGTACTGGACTAAATTATATTGAGTGGTGTTATAATTTCTTGTTCCACTTGATACCTGCAGCGTTTGAAAGCAGCCATGGCTGCCGAGCGGATGAAGGGTTTCTCCCACGTGGTGGTGTCGTCCAACCTGCGAGATGGTTTCTCGGTGCTCATCCAGTCAGCAGGACTGGGGGGAATGAAACACAACACTGTCCTGATGGGCTGGCCGGCAGGTTGGAAACAAGCCCACGACTCCTCTGCAAGGAGGAACTTCATAGGTAAACTGCACAGGAGTGTCTTAAACTAAGATAAAAGCAGACAAGTCTCCAGGATTAAGAAAATCACACGTAACAATGTTGAAATGTAAAGGGAAAGACTGGGGGCAGCAGGGGGACACACAAAACTGATGTAGCTGTATCCCACAGCCCTGACATAGGGTGCTTCTCAAGTCTCTTATTTGTTGTTTCCTCGCTCCTCGCTTGAACCGGAAGGTGTTCTGCTCTGCCATCTTGCAGGATGTCCCAAAGCTCTTATTTGCGTTTCGAGGAACGAGGAGCGATCTCTGAGGAGTTATGAGCAAGGATACATCAGTCCATACTTCGCGGAAGTCTTTTACTGAACGACACGCCCCCTTACTGGGTAGCCATTATTGATTGGACGCTGCAGCGGACAATATCGGACTGATCTGATGCATCACCACAGATAACATTAAACTCAAGTGCATCAGTGCAAAGGCTATATTTCATTTGTTTTATGATTCACTGTCCAGTTAAAATTTGAGTTCATTGTAGGTCTGAACAAAAGACAAAAAAGCCCCATACAGAACTTTCTTCATTTAGACTAGCCTAATTGAATGATTTTATTTTTCTTTTATTTCTCCCATCAACTTTTATTATGGAGACAATTAAAGTCAGAGAGTCAGAGATTCTGTCAGCAAGAAACACGTTTTACATCATTTATCATCTTCTATTCAGTCACATGTGAGGCTGGTCATTCCTGTATTTAGTCCAATAGACGACAATAAAACATAGTAAACAAGTTAGGGGCCAGACAAGTCACTAAACTGCACTAAAGTCTCTAATGAAGCAAGCAAAGGAAAATAAATCCGCTCATCCAGCCGATCTCACCGACTGCATCTGATGAAAGCAGCCGGAGGCTCTGCGAGTAAAATCAGCTGATTAAAGTTTGAATGAGAGCCGCTGCGCTAAAAAGAAAGCATCGGATTGCTATGATGGAACGCAGTGATGAAATGTATGCAGTAGACTAGTGTTAAAGGATATCTGAAGAGGGAATAAACTGAAAGCCTTAAACTGAGCGTCGACTTAGAGTTACATCATTTCAATTTCCCATAAACATAGAGCCAATAAATCCCAAGACAAAATGATCATATTCTGGGTTATTCAATAACAAATTTACGGTCACAATCAATAAATATAAATGCAGATAATATAAGTATTGTGCCAGTAGATATGACCCTGTGCCTCTGAACAGGACATACAGTATCCTATAATTAGGCCTATTCATGTGCAGGTGTTTGTCAGAAACGGATGTCGCTTCATGTGACGCTTCGAAGGAAAGGACGTCTCATGTCTCTAAAAACATATTTCCTCGATCCTCCTCTACTGGCTTGGCGTCTCTCCATGCATCCCCAGTAGGCGGGAATAAGACGCAAGGGAAAGATGCAAATGAGGGAAACGTGGATGCAATTAAGAGACTTGAGAAGCAGCCAATAGAAACATTTGAAATGGCCTGCCATTACTCTCTCTCTCTTTCTCTCTCTCTGCAGAAACAGTGAGAGAGACGACAGAAGCTCATCAGGCATTGCTGGTTGCTAAGAACATTGACCATTTTCCTGGTAACCAGGAGCGTCTGGAGGGAACCATTGATGTATGGTGGATCGTACATGATGGTGGACTGCTCATGCTGCTGCCATTTTTACTAAGTCAACACAAGGTGTGTTGACCAAATCGTCGTTTCCTTTTTCCTTTTATATTATTTAATGGTTTTTTATTAACTAAATTATATTGTCAAAGACAACATATTTTATATCAAGCATCGTGGTTCAATATCAAGAATATGACCTAAGCAAGAAAATTGTCAACAATCATGTAAAAACTAAAGAACAGATACTTTACTTAAAACTTGACTTTAAGATTATTTTATGAAACTATACAAACCCAGTTGCTTTTTTATAATTACCAAATAGGACCATAGTTAGGCCAAGCCTCCTTTTCTAATCCTAATGGTATTAGTGTTTAAAAGGGTTTAACATGTTAGTCGTGATTCATTTCAACGTTGTTTTGTTCTATAAAGCAACTTCTGTTTACACTATAATCCAATGGATATTCTACCAAATGCAGCATGGTGTCATTTAATTTGAGTGTAGCTGCCAGAGGCTGCCAGTCTTCACTCGTAATAACAACTGTAATGCTCAGTGCATTATAGGAAATGTATCTTGCTCACGTGCCTCCTATAACCAGCAGCTGATAAGGATACATCTTTTATCTCTGTAGGTGTGGAGGAAGTGTAAAATGCGTATTTTCACGGTGGCACAGATGAACGACAACTCTATCCAGATGAAGAAAGACCTCCAGATGTTTCTCTACCATTTACGCCTGGATGCAAAGGTGGAGGTGGTGGAGATGGTGAGGCTTTTTTCATGATAGTTGATACAGGTTGTAGTCTGTGTCTTAACTGCTCTAGAGCTAGATACTGAAAAGCTATCTGTTTGCTTTGAACTTCTCTAAATCAGACCATTAGCTACAGCAGATCTGTGGATAAGCACTGCATTTGTAGAAGTCTGAAATTGTAAATGTCCTGTGTGTCCCTCTAGCATGACAGTGACATCTCAGCCTTCACCTATGAGAAGACGCTGGTGATGGAGCAGAGGTCTCAGATGCTTAAACAGATGCGTCTGTCCCGCACTGAGAGGGAGAGAGAGGTACTGTGGCACTTCCATTATAATCATGTAAAAATCATGCTCTGTAAATCAAGTAAAAACTTCCTTATGACTCAGATGTTGTTACAAACATTTTAAGGCCTTTGACATTTTCTAATGCTTTTAAAATAAAATAAAATATAAATTGTGTACATATATGAGAAGTAATAATAATAAGTAATAGCAAGATGTACTAGGAGTCTGTCTAGGAGTGACCAAACTGGATTGTTGTATGCAACTATTATTACAATTAAGTTTAATTCAGTTGAAGGCATGGTCCACAACACTGCAAAACTCTCTCTCTCTCTCATATATATAATCTTAAATTCCAATAGGCTTCTATTGCAGTGAATGTAAATCAAACAACACTAGTGGAACACCATCACACCACCGAGCCCTGATGTCCAAACCAACAATAAATTCCATTTGTATAGACAGAATTTGCAGCCTGTGCATACCACTAATTATAGGCGGTTCGATCCCCTGCTTCCCGCATGTTGTAAGTATCCTCAGGCAAGATTGAGTGGTCAGAAGACTAGAAAGACTTTTTTTCCCCTGAGTAATCATGAGCAATTTGGGTAGAAGAAATCCATTTCTATCGCATTATTTGTGCTTTCACAAATAACATATTCAGATTTGGGTACATGCATTATTCTTACAATACAATAATGATGTAGAAAATCCTATAATGAACTGTAAACAGCAGTGTAAACAACACTGATGCAGCTGACCTCCACCCAAAGAAGCTGAACTCGTGGAGATAATGTTTGCTGTCTTCCTTCATTCACTGTACTGGAGATGCCGTCTGAGAGACAAAGCAGCCACTAGAGGGAGACACGTTCCTTACTGAGCTGTAGGGGAGGTCTACGTGAGACTCAATCCAGTTATTGTCAATCAACCTACCGCTGCAGGATTACTAACCTTTACAGTCACTCCCTCAAAGTTTTTAACACTCCCACCTGCAACAGCATTAGTAGGCAGTAGAAACTAAAAATGGACAAAAACTTTATGGATGCATGTTTACAGTTCATAACAAAAGAGTTTTGTTGGGATCCTGCAGGATCCACATCCTGTTGTTACTAGCCATTTTAGATAGTATGTAAGTATGGTTTGTTTTGTTTGCACTTTTATTCCCCCTGTGTTTCAGCTCTCTGACATCTCTTCAAGCAGATTTTAGACTTCAAGATGTGCAGACCTATACTTTTGTTTGGACGGCATGTACTGCAGCGCCTTGTTTCCCCTTTTGCTTTTTATGTCAACAAATTTGGCCTTTTGTGTTGAAGAATAAGCAGTGCAGTTGCTGACACGGAGCAAGGTTTTTGCCCACAACTTACTACAGTATGTGATGTAGCCCTTGCTAATTTATTTGGTGATTTAGTTGACATTTTTCTTGATTATAGTGAGGAGTAATGTGGCATTTATTTGCATTATACAAAAGGTTCTAATAAGTTTTGTTTTTTTAATTATCATATTTTTAGTTTGCATCAGGCAGCTGAATCACCAAATGCAGCAGAAGTGTGCAGGTGCCTGGATGAAGCTCATATGCTATTGTTTTTACAAAGGCACTTCAGAGTGAATTCCATGCTACATTTCAGTGTTTATGAAGCACATTCTCTCTGAGATTTGAATTTTCATGTTACTTTTAATTGTCATAAAGGTTTGACTGTGGAAGGTGACGTCTCGCCTTGATGAAACATCAGTGATTTAGGCATGTGTGTTAATTTCCATAACAGCATTATCGCTGTTCAATCACCGATTTAAAATCACGGTAAAGGGAAAGTTGGAGCGTCTTCAGCTTCAGTATTGTGAGACATTTCTGAGTGAAACGGATGATGTGGGCAGGGAATTTAAAATCAGATCTTTAACATTTGATTGGATTGCTTATAAGTAGGCCTGGTTTAGCAAATACGGTGTGATATTTAGCTCTTGTGAGTTCTGGAGTATATAGATCACTTCACCCACACCTCCTTCACCTGTGTTGTTAGATCAGGAGAATGAGAGAGATTAATAAATTAGATAATATAATCTCGCTCTTGTGAAAATGTAAACAAAGTTTTTGCCAACCAAACACATACCTCCTACTGCTCTGCTAACTACTGCAACTGTTATAGGTTGAGCTAGTCTGCCAAAATAACATTCTTAAATATTGTAATGTTTTACAGGAAGAGAAACGAGAGGACATATAATGTTTTTTAAACATATTTTTGGCATATAACAAGAGATAACTGCACAGTTAACACAATAAGACAGAATTAGAACAGGGAAAATGTTGTTTTTATGTATGTGTATTTAAAGTAGATTACATACACAGACCAGGAGGTTTACTAACAGACAAACAGAAAAAACAACCTGCCTGTCTGTGTTCTTTTCATCACGATAAACATGTCTACCACTAACTATCCTAAAAATAACTGCATCTACGCAATTTATCTTCATATCCTCTGCTGATCATGTTGTAATGTCCCTTTTCGCTGTTTAGCAATAACATATTTGCAACGATATCCATCTTTTTTCTAGTAAAATTGTATTAGTGTGTCCTTGAAATTTATTGCAGTGGAAACCCAATGCTTTTATAATAGAAATTACAAATTAGAGAAGAACCATGATGCAACATGGCTGAAAACTGCAACAAACAAACGGTCTGACCTGTCCTTTGTATATTAGGCCCAGATGATCCATGACCGAAACACGGCCTCTCATTCTGCAATGAATGACACAGCTGCAGGTGCCACACCAGATCGTGTCCACATGACCTGGACCAAAGAGAAACTCATCAACGAGAGGAACAAACAAAGAGAAGGCATGGGAGTTAAAGATATGTTTAATATGAAACCGTAAGTAGATCCATAAATAGATTATTTTCTATATTTTACTTTTATTATTTTTGCTATAATCTTTGTTGTGTGTATTTATATATGCTGCTGTTGCACTGCACTTAACTACAAGCACTATTTGTGACAGATCTGCCGTTGTAGTTGCTGTGGCTAAAAACCAATTGATTTGCTCTATCTTTCAGCACATTTCAGCACTGAATTGGTCACATCCTATTGTTTTATTCAAGGGCTTTCAATCATTTTGCTATTGGCCTGCAGATTTGTATGTCATTTGTTAATACTGTTTGATGGCAGAGGAGCGCCAAGACCTAACCCCTACTGCATCTACATAACCTAAGTAGCTGATAAAGTCAGAGAGGAGCAGCCCTTATTATTGTGTTAATGTTGAATATGTTGTTTTATGCTCCCTTCGTCTAGTGAGTGGGAAAATCTGTAAGTCACTTTTTCTGTTTTTATTTACATGTGCATGATCTTTCTCTGTGTTGGCATGCTTGGGTTAAAGTAGATCACAGTATCACGGGTTTGCATGAGTGTCAGGGTGCAAATATGGAGGCTGCATGTGTCTGTGTGATGTAGATGATCTGAGTCCCAATCCCTCATACTGTGCTTCCTGTAGATTTATGATTTATTGGAACAACCCTCTGCAATTAATGGCAGGATAACTGATTCTTCTTATTACTCTTTGTGGTCTAACGTAGCAACCAGACCAACGTGCGGAGGATGCACACAGCTGTGAAGCTGAATGACGTGGTGGTCAAGAAATCCCAGAATTCACAGCTTGTCTTGCTCAACATGCCAGGCCCACCGAAGAACAAGAAGGGGGATGAGAACTGTATCCTTTTCAATTTTCAGCTCATCTGTCATTCTTTTAGTCAACAAATAATTAAGTCAGTCAGAGAACTTTTGTTATATTAAAGGAATAATTCAACATTTTGGTAAACACGCTTATTCGCTCTCTTGCCAAGACTAAGATGAGAAAATTAATACCACTCTGTCAGTTTCCAGCTAGAGGCAGCAGGCAGTTAGCATAGCTTAGCATAAAGAAGAAAGCATATTGTTCCATTTAGACAAACTTTTCCTCCCTGTTCTTAGTCTTTATTGCTATGCTAAGCTAATTGAGTAGCAAGCAGTCATGAGGAAGGCGTCTCTTGTCTCACTTTGAACAGAGCCAGCTTTCTCCCTGCTTCCAGTCTTAATGCTAAACTGAGCTAACTGGTCGCTGGCGTCATATTTTTAACATATATTAGAATTGAATTGGTCTTTTCATCTTGTGTGTAATTCCCAAAGATGACAAGCTATTTCATTGAGGTTAACTGTGAATAAATTAATACTAAAATGTGTTAAACTGTTTCATGTGTTGCTGGTTTCACAAAGTCTTCTAATGTAAAGAGATTACAGAAATGTAATCTAGTCTTTTTGTCTTTGTTTCTGCCTTCTGCACCGTAAAAATAATCCATTAAGATAAATTCAGGTTATTATATTATTATGACGTAATTAAGTAAAAGTACTATTAGCAAAATTATCTATTCGATTAGAATCTAAATAAAACTACCCAATAAGGAAATATTGTCTCTGAGTGGTGAAGTATGAGCTGTAGCTACATTGTACAATAAAACTCACATGATGTTTTTCATACTGATCCCAGTATTTTTCACCTCAGTATGTTTGCACAAGTTTAAAGTAACAGCAAATAGAAATACTCAAGTAGAGTACAAGTACATAAACTTTGTACTTGAGTGAATGTACTTAGTTACATTCCACCACTCACTGAAGTATTCTCCACACCTAGAAATAGAGGTTTTACTTCATTTCCAACTTTAGTTCGTACTAATGCCTTTGCTTTCACACATAAAGCAAAAGCCCTTTCCACCCAACCAAGTCTGCCCTTGGCCATGACAGGCTGTGATTGGGCCCCCCCGATTCAGCTCACCACTGGGCAGCAGGCCTTTACAAACATCAAGCTAGCTAGCTACATTAACTTAATCAAAGAAAAGTGTTGGCTAGCCATGGAACGACTGCGGTGATGAGAAGGGTCTCCCGAACCTGCCATGTCCGGCGCCTGGAGCAGGGACACCCTGTGTAGGGAGAGAGCTGCCGTTTTGGAGCCGGCTACCCCTGCCCATAGTCAACTTTCCCCCGACTCACTCTCAGCCTTTGTGCCTGGGAGAGCAAAGGAACGTATTCCTACCGCAAGAAACTGCAAGATTTTTATGCAGCTCAGTGAGGCTCCTTTTTAAGTCAAAGGAGAATGGAAGGTTACATGCCTTGTCTCCATCTTTTTGGAGCGCAGTAAGGCGTTATGGAGCTCTTGTTTATTTGTTACGGATCCCAGACAGTAGCTGGGACAGCTAAGAGTGTAGCTTCTTCCTGGGCTTTGTTACCGGCCGTCACAGTGGAGAATGTGTGTGCTGCTGCCTCTTGGGCCAAGGTTTTATAGCCTTGATATGTCAATGTGTTGCTCTAATGTAATGTATGTCCTTAACCAGAACGTGTCTCTCAGATATGGAGTTCCTGGAGGTCCTGATGGATCGCCTAGACCGTGTCCTGTTGGTTCGTGGAGGAGGTCGGGAGGTCATTACCATCTACTCCTAGCACCAAAAGGTTCCTAATTGTTTGGAAGGGCACTGGAAGGAAACATTTTTTAGCAGTAGGACCCCAAAAATCAGGGGGGGTTGACAGGAGGGCGTGACTTTGAGATGGGACATAGACAAAGATGTCAGACACAGTTGTGTCACCCCCTCTCAAACTGTCAGGAGACAAAAAAGCAACATTGCCACTTGCTTTTTGGAGGACCATGGTTGCTGGGAGGGGATGGGGAGGCCTACCTGCAGCACAGCCTGAGCTCAGTGCGTTGTCTGGGTGCATAGAGGGCTTTTTGCACCCGACACCTCACCCCCAAGGCTGCGTAACTTTGCCACATCTGAACACTGAGAGAGATCACAACTGTGTGGCTGCACTTTAACTGTTTTCTGAAAGAGCTGTTATTAAATGATGTAGAGCATAAAATGTCACAGCAAGTAATGTAACTAATGTTAGCTCTGTGGACAAGTCATTCGACATTACCTGATGCACAAATCAAAGGCTGGAATAATGTTGTGTGGCCAACTTTGTTTGTTTCCCATTTTCAGAGCCTGGTGCTGTGAAAATGGGAACACCGGATTTTTTTTTCAGCACACACACAGAACAAACAGCTAGCATACCGTGACAAGATGTTAGCTGAATTTGACCAAAATTCGTGTGTTGGATTTGAATCGCATACCCCACCTTTAACACGTTACATTGCTTCACCAGCAAGAAAGCCAGAAAGAACACGTTTTCACTGATTGTGTAAGCTGGAAACTGAAGCCGGAAGCTCATTGGTTTTAACAATGAATGCTAACATAGCTGACGGCATTTTTATTTATTCAGTGCCTCTGATGACACTTCTTATTGATATATGTGATGCATTGACATTGGTAATATGGGATGAGTTGCACATGTTTTTAAGACAATATATTTTAAGTAATATCATGTTTGTCTCATATCACTGTGTCAGAAGTTAAAGCCGAAGCCCCATTGATTACTATCAGGATAGTTTAAGGGAAGTGTGGCAGCACTGATTGTAGTCTCAAGATTGTCTATATCATTGCTTATCAACTAGACCACAATTAGTGTGATCAAAACGTAAGAGATTATGAAAATGCAACAGAGGAAATACAACTTTTGTGATTTTAGTAATTGAGTTGATGATTTATTTTATATACTTTTTTGCATTTGAGTAAAATGCTCCAGTGCATTTGTGGGCTCAGTTCTTAACCAGCCAGTGTGCCTCGATAAGGAAAACCGAACAACATGCAGCCTGTATAGTAGTATTATCTTGTAGTATTACTTCATTTTTTAAAAAGCCAGCACACATAGGTTTACCTACAATGTGCCATGTGTAAGAACCACACAAAATAAACAAACCAAAGATTACATCTGGAACTCTGAGTCTTCAGTTTGCAACATACAGGAGTACTTACGTGTGGCGTTTGTCCCGGTAGAAGGACTTATCGTGCAGATACGGAGAGGAACAAATGGCCTGAGAAATTGTAAATGCTTTGGATTTAACACAAAAGCCTGTTGTCTTTAATTACATCATATGTGTGATATGATTAGCGTTGATTAGTGTAAAATTATAGTTTTGGTTCATTTGAGAAATTAATAATAAAAAAGTACTTTGCTAAGTGTTATCATGTAGAGAGCATGTCCACAACAGCATAAATAAGACAGTTGTAGGAAACAATACAAATTCAGATCTTCAAACCTACCCTCTATGTATTCCATCCTATTCGCTGCATGTTTTGCAGCACATCTAATAAAATAAATACTTCTTCATTTGCACCACCAGAGTTTTCTTGTGAGAAAAAGGGTAAACATCAGTTATTTAAAATCCTTTGAAAATTCTCACAGTTGTGTCTTGTAGAGCCAAATTAGAAAGTCCTGCACTTTGTTTCCAGGTACTGGGGACAGTCTTAAAACATATTTCTTAATTTCTCCACTATACTTTAGGATGTCTTCACGTGGGTTGAGTAATACTTTTATAATTATGTACGATAGCAATGCGTTCAAGAAGCTAATCCAGAAAGTATGATTTGGCATATTGTTAGAAATTATAATTCAGTTGTATACTAGATAGTGTTCCTAGTGGAGGGAGTTTTACTTTTCTTTTTGTGAGCACAAATGATTTGTTTCGTAATATTTTGTGAATCGCAAACAAGTTAGAGAGCGTTGTCTTTCACTAGAGACTAAAACCAGACTGCTAAAAATTAATTAGCAGTAATTCACCTGATATACATTTCTGCTATCGGTTATTCAACAAAAATAACGGCATAAACAATACATCTTGACAACAATAAATCAAGTATTGAAGACAGGTCAAAGTGTTGTGTCATGTATGATATTACAAATCAATAGATGCATTGTTGTAAACAACATCGTTTTTTAACAGAGTTACTGCAGCTAATTTTAAACACTGAGGTGAATATTAAGATAATACAGTATGTTCACGTCCATCAGAGCTTTAGGGACCATTTGTGCCTATGCTGTAACAAACACCCTGAAGGTGATATTCTTGTCAGATGGAATCCGTTCCTGTCTGACCCACATCAGAGTTGAGCTGGATTGTGGTCACCTTTTACGTAACTGGCCCGGGCTCAGTTTCCCAAAAATCTATTTAATCCTAAAATCATCATTGTCTCTTAGTTTGCAAAAGAACAAAGACAATCTTGGATCTGCAGTAGGAAGCTTTCAGGGGAACTTGGCCTCGGATAAATGGCTTCCTGTTTGTGGTTAGCTGGGTCAGCACGCACAGAACAACAACCCTAATCTCGGTCTGATGCTCTGATCACTGTCTGAACTACAACTCTGCTGCATTCTGTGCTGTCTGTAATCCTTACTCTCCGCTCAGTTTAAAGCACATGCTGTCTTTTGCTAGAATTCAGGACAGTTAACCTAAGTTGACACTTTATTTTTTCCCCCAGTGGGAATTTTGTCTTGTGGCCAGGACCCACATAAAAAAGACAATGACCACAAGTGTCCCTGTTTAAAAAAAAAAAATTCACAGGGCTCATAAAAAACACAATAGGGGAAAATGATGGGTTCACTGGGGCGAGCTTTCTGCAAATGTGGGAGGTTTTATCATCCAAAGATTTGCAAGATTTTTGCCGTCTACAACTTCTTGCTTCTGTTGTGTACATTCAGTTGATGATGCACAGAAGTGCAGTGTGATGGCCGCACTAGCAGCCACACATGGAAACAATACCTCATGGTGGTAACTCTTTTGTTTTGAGCACGTTACATATACAAAATAAATAACTGGACACACATTTTAGTTTTAAAAACAGTTTTCTATTTGGGTGCACACATTTAGTTAACTTTGTCAATTTAGCTAATTTCAGGTTCATCATCTTTAAGTTCTGTGAAATTTATACCTTTCTTTTTGAGTTGCTGCTGGAGGTCGCTGGCCGTCTGACAGAGGAAAGGACTTCCAACTGCCTCTAAGCTGTTTAAGTAGGGGAATGGATAATTAGACTGCACCATGTTTTCCCATATCATGGGGGTGGCAGAGTATTCCACTTTTGAGTTGTGTTTTTTTCTTTGCTAGTTATACTTGTTATGATTATTTGATTGATTTACCATTAGTTCATATTAGGTAGCGTTGGTTTAACATGTTGTAGTTATTGTGGTTTGTTTTTATATTGTGTGTTTGTCAATCCCCTTTGTGTCAGAATGGCCTGATCAGCCACTATATAAGTTTCCACCATGTCTCAGTCTTGTTAGGTCTGTTTGGTTCAGCTTATCTTACCTGAGTTAAGGTCTGTTTAGTTGACCTCTTTTATGGGCCCGGAACTTTTTATTTTGTTTTGTAAAATATTTTTTTTGTGCTTTTTAAATAAAAAAATATATTTTTTGGAAACTTACTTTCTGACTGCACATGCCTGACAGCTTGGTCCCTCAAATGCAGCATGCAGTAGAGAACAATCAGTCAGGAAGGAAAAAAACCAGCACCTGCAAAACTATTCTCTTTAGGGGGTTGTCTTGCTGTTGCCTCTCCAGTGCACCTGTTGTCACTTTCATTTGCACCAAAACAGGTGACACTGATTCACAATCGCATGTGCTTCCTACCTGGACAGATTGATATACCTGAAGTTTAATTGCCTTGATGTTATACTGTGATGATTAAGTGTTCCCTTGCTTTTTTTGAGCAGTGTACAAAACTTGAGACGAGCCTCTAATATGTGTAATTTACAGTTGCAGTCAGGTCATACAATGCTTGTTTTGTCACAGACCAGCATTAAGTCACAACAGCTTAAATTAATGTCACACTTCACTGTAAAAATACAGTGGCGTATAATAAGTCATGTTTCACATTTCTATCAGGTGTTAACATATAAAATGCAGATCCATTGGCTATCTAACATGTTAAGAAGCCTATAGTTGTAGGAGTTGGAGGCATGGAAAAGAGAGGGTTTTTTTGTATAGCACCTTTTAACAAGGCCATCAAATGCATTATCACCCGTAACATCAGCAACTGAATTGTGCATGAGAATTAAAGTTGGTTAGTTTTGTGGGGTCACGTCCACCATAACGTGAAATATGGAGACTGTATGGAGAATCCACCATGTAAAATAGTTTTATATCTTTGACTTTTTTATTTATCCAACCATCTAGTGTATATACATTTTTGTAAGTAGCTTAAAGGAAACTACAAACGTAATCTCGTTAAACCAACTCTGTGTTGTAAAATCATAAATATACCTACCTTGTAAATGTATACAGGTTTTGTTTATTTGTCAGTAGCCCACTATTCTTTAGTCTCAGGTTCTCCTACAAAAAGCATCTTTATGATTAAGGTATCCATCAGACGTCATCTTCTTCCCACAGCTTCCACTGATGGGGGGGGACAAGCTGCCTATCTGGGAGTTAAATCTGTAAGACGAGCTAAACAGGGAAAACACAAGTGGCTTAGGATGGGAATGTAGTCTGTAAAGACAGAGACGGTGAGAGGGGCAGAGGTGAAAAGGGAGGGTACCTTCCTTTCTCTCCGAGTCATTATCATTCCAGCATCTGCTAATAGTGGAGTGTTAACATCACAACATGGGCAATTTCACTGAGACTCCCTGTGACCTCATTGACCCCTGAAGCTTTGTCTCCGTCAGCTTCGAAGTCCAACACTGACTGTGTCTGCTGTGAAATATTAAATGAAATCCAATTATGTATGTTGATTTCCAATTCTTTCTAATTCTACACCTGGAACTTTCAAGGTTCCCACAACAAACTACTAAAATTGTTGAAATGCTTCATGTTTGCAGGATTTGACTTTGTATTGATTCAAGAACAAAGGGACCTCTTTTTTGAACATTTTTTTAGAAGAAGTTAAACTCAGTTAGCTTGAGGCCACACAGACTGGATCTCATGATTGTTAACCGGTAGCTGTTAGCCTTCAAGTGTATTTCTGCTCACTGCTGAAAACAGAGATCTGCATATAACGCCCAATGTAGGATAAAATGATTATTAAACTGCAGGCAGCCACTGACAGTCAGGTCAGGTTAATCCGAGTCTTACAAAAACGAATAAAATTCAAATTCTATACGTGTTCCACGTCCATGAAACTGGACTAAACTCCCAATCCCATTTTCATTTTCATTTTCTTTTTTTTTTTCTGGTAAAAGACTAAATAACAGACATAACAGACACTTTTCTTGTCTGACTGATTAAAGCCCTGACTGAGAGCAACCAGACAACAATAGGTGATGCATAAAACTGCCTTTTCCGGGGCAAATGGTCTTTGTGTAACACATGAATGGTCTCTTTTGAAAGTATGAATTCCTTTTCAGTTTTGGAAACCAAACATTTACCAGTTAGCCAAAGGCAACCCCTTCCTGTTCACAGCAGTACTATAATTCACTTGCGGGGGTCAGGGAGTCAGTTTAAGCAAAGGCAACATTTTAAGAGAGATACTGTGACTGGTAAACTGTTGAACGTGTGTTTGTGAAGCTTTCATCGCCGCCTTCAGCCACAATTATTGTTTTGCTTTTCGACAAGGCACTTGCATATAAAAACCTTGTATCTCCAAAATTTTGACTTTTTAAATGTCAAGACAGGCAGGTTGGGATCCTCACTAGTCAAAGTGGGCACCTGGCCATCAATTTGTTTATTTGTTCAATTGTAAATAAGGTGGGTCCTGTATCATTACCTGATGATGTGGCCCTGTCTTGTAAAATGGCCCAGTGTCAAAATCTACAAAATCTAGTTTGAAAACAAAACTATGGAAATTTTAAAAGAAGAATGAACACAATTTGAAAACAATTCCTTTGTCAGTTGACTGATGAAGACTCTGCTTTAGCCAGTGTTACAATGTGTTTTATGTTGCATGTAGCAGATGAATATTTCAATGGTTTTATCATAAAAGTAAAACAAGACATAAATACAGCAGACCATTTTGTGCATTTGCCACTTGCCGTTATGCAGTCTCGCTTTAAGGCTTCAGTTATTTTACTGCAACTTATACTGGACAGCACTTGGAAGTTGCTCGACACCCTCTCTGTTCCATATTCTTCAAATATGTTTACAATCCATCTATGTTATTGTCATCTGATTTTTTTATTTTTAGAAAGGTTGCTATTATGGTCTGTTTCTATCCACACAACATTTACTGCATCTGTCAGTCTTAGAACTCCTCTATTACTCTCCCTTAGGCTGTGTTTACACTATGATTCGTGGTATTGGGCTATATACTGTAAATAAAATTGACTTGACTCGCATGGCACATCCTCCTAAATAAAGTTATGTTTGTCCAAATTACCAGGGCGTAGAGTTGATATGGGATTTTTTTTAAATCTGATATATTGGCCAATATTCTTTTTTTCTTTGGTGTGTTATGATACCTTACCAAGATGACATGACAAAACACAAAAAATAAACTTTTCTATTGTTATAAATAGTGCTTTGAACAGGCTACAGCTGATTGCTGTGTTTTATAGTGGGTTTAGTGGTTTATTGTGTACCAAACACCTGTGTTGCCAACAGGCGAGGTGCAGAGTGCCCTCTATAATGGGAGTTTAGAGGCTATACACAGGGTGCATACTGAGTGTCAATAGGGACACAACAGTACATTTTTGCTCTAAGCCCACCTCACAGGTTAATTCAAAAATACTATTTGCTATCCTTATTCATTAATTCACACAGTTCATTAATTAATTAACACTCAATTAATTAATTAACAGGTGCTTTTCGAATTCCTTCCCTGTCAGTTGATTTATTCTCAGTCTAATAATTGCAATTGGAAAGGTTTAAACACATTTAAGATAGATTCATAGATGGATAGATTTAACTTAGGCTACATGATGGCTATAAATGTAAACAGGCATATTAT